CTAGCGTGCGTAGTCCAAGTGGTGAGAGATAAATGAGATAAAGGGACGGAATGGAAACTTCAATGAAGTTGGATCACTTGGTAATTTCTTACTATGAGCTGAGCCATCGAATGTGATTCATGTATAATAAGTTAGTTATGTTAACTTAGTATCCTACCCAACTCTTAAGAAGTATTTTAAGCTATCTTACACTGGTGTCATTGGCAGCGAGAGGCTGAACGGTTTGTACAAAACAACGTACACTGACAAAAACGGGAAAACCAAGTAGGTTTCGTTTTTTGGCAAAAAATCAGTGCTGTCATATGACAGTCAATGATCTCTCAAGAGTATTCTATGGTCAACTGGTCAGAGTGGGCGTTAGTGCCAGCAACATGTAGGAACCACGCCGGTCCAAAGAACTATTCACTGTCGACTGATCGATGTAAACTCACCATAAGATGATTCTAACTCGCATGGCAACCCCGATAGTTGTGTAGTGGTATGCATCGATCAGTTCACTTTGTAATTTGTGAGTTGGGAAAGACTTGCTAAGCATATGAGTATGACTGTCCCATTAGTTCAAAAAACAGGCTTGCTGTCGCAATTCCACACTTTCCAAGGTTGAATTTCGTACGAATTTCTCAATTATAAGTTCAGTCTCACTCTGTAGTTCTTTCTTCAGTTGGAGTAGCTTTTTCCTGAAAGTTTCGAGCCACTGATGAAATGATTGACTGCACCCATATCTTCCTCAGAGTCATAAAACGCTTCCAGCTATCAGTCTAGGTAAACGTCGTTCTCTCTCCATCTTTCTAATGGAGCTTATACATTGCAAACCTGCAAGTACGATGCATTTCTATCAACGATTTGTACGTTCGTGTGATCTGACTTGGTAGGGTTTTAGTGATAGCGCACCTATGCACTGAGCATACGTGCTTTTAAATGAAGGTACTTGGTTGTTCCAAAAATTATCTATCATCTGGGGTATGTCAGTATTATTTGAGTTCTGTGCGTGTACCGCAGGTGTGAAGGGGTAGGACCATCAGAATTCTACACCAGATCTTTTGCTCTACTGCAGAAGCAAGAGTGCACTCAAACTGCGATATATCTGATAGGTATAAAGGCAATGCCTCACCAGAACGCTCAGCGTGTGAGCGATTTGCGAGATTAGGACAGGATGAAACCACTCTCGGAGGTCGACAACGTTTGTGAAGATCGTCCACAGTTAGAATCGATCAATAAAATATTAGTGGAAGCAAATTATCGCACAGCTACTCGTGAAGTAGCGTAAAGGTCTATTATATTGAGCTCGATTGTTCACGACCATTCGATGGAACTTGGCTTGATAGCCTTCAGTGTTTGGAAAGCTCAAAAACGCCAGCTAGCGCAGCCTGTTGGATGCTGAGCTACGCAGCCTGTTGGAAAACCCTTTCAGTGCTCGCTTTCGTTGCTTGAACGTAACGAAAACGTTCGTTGCTTGAATTTAACGGAAACGAGCACATCCCATTATAAATTGAGTGGGTAATGAATTGTGTACGACAATGTTAAGCCGAAACGACCGTACTGTGATGCCAGTGAAACGAGACTAACCATTCCAAGAGTCAAATTCAACATTGAATGATTGACGCTGATTGTGCTACGTTGCTGGTGGAACTGGAACGGAATCATATACTAAGAGCTATTACCGCACAGCAAAATGACGCTCCTGAAAGATACTGTACACAACTGGACAATTCGAAGGAAGCAAAAGAACAGGAATCCCAGAAAAGCCTATTGTGAATGTGTCGCGATTCATCAAAGCAACGCCAGGACTCGCGTATATTTAGAAACTCTTCAAAAATTGCTAGAGTTTGGATAGCACGGTTCCCTCATATAGTCCGGATCAACACTGTCAGACTATCATTTGTTCGAAGCTCTGCAGCAGTCGCTTTGTGGAATATCATTTAATTCTCTGAAGGAAGTCTGAAACAGGTTTTAATCCAAAGTCTAAGGTCTTCTGTGGATGTGGAGCGAGCATACATTCAGAAAGGTGGCGTAGCATTACCGAGCAGAGTGGAGTACACTGCCGTTCAAAAAGAAACCACCTTGAGCATTTTTCCCATAACTCATCTCGAACTCAATATTTTTGGCTGATTTTTCATGTTGTTGACAGTGATGATTTTTAATGATCACATCACAGAACTCACGTCCTTTTTTCACTTTGTTTAAAAGACCACTTTTCACAGTTTTCTGAACAGGACAAAATAACATCAGTTTCAATACTTCATAATGATTTGCTTGACTTGAACGCTATCATCATGAGATTGAAACCTAACAANTATTAGCGGGGCACTGATTGGTTGATTTATTTGTTACATGTTGAAGAGCAACATGTGGTAATAGATAGCCAAACCAAATAAAACAGCAAAAAGATGAACAACACCTCGTTACAAAATGAAACTGATAACAGCAGAAAGTACAATACTCAGAGAGATACATGGAGGTAGCGGATAACAGCGCCTTTGAATTTTCTGAATGAGGTCGAAAATAGAACAACCCCGCTCATCCTTGTGTACTCCATCCCAGCCCGAAAAGTGAAAAACTTACGACCCACCGACGACCTAGTAAGCCGAAAGGAGAGCCTGAACTTGTCACCTCTAGTCCTAGACGGGATCTTTTGAAAGAACGGATGACTATTCAAATTGATTCGATTGTTGATGATGAAATACACCATCAAAACGTCATTAATCCTCCGCCTCAAATGAAGGTTCGGTAGAAAGTCGACCGACTGATTCGACCAGTTTGTCGATCAGGCACTTATCAATTTTCCACCATCCTTCGTCAAACTAGCCAAACCTGTGAGCGACATTTGTGACTATTTGCCAGCTATCCTTTTCTTGAGTTCATACCACGAGGGTTCAGTGATGTTAAGGTCAGAGGACTGACTGAGTCAGTCAAGGCATCGAATTTTCCATTGAACTCGCGCCCTCTTCAGATCTGGATTTGGGTCCTCTATCTTGCTGGAAAGTGAATTTTCTGCCGCGCACAGGGGAGGCGAAAGGTAGCATGCACTTTTGCAAGATGTCTACGTACATCTACTGAACCGTAGCTGTGGAGATATGGTGCAGAGACCCCATGCTCTAAACATCCCCAAATCAATACTCAGTTGTCAACTTCTACTTGGGATCGAAACTTGTATTTTGAAAGGTCGTCTACGAACAAAATTCCATCTGTACGAACGAAACACCTTTGGCTAGTTGCTTTAGATGACTCCGCGTCATTGGTCGAAGACCTAGAACACACTGAAACCCAACTAAAGAACATGCCCCTTGCGCAAGTTTTTCGAGAAAATCCGAAGTTGGCTGAAAATGAGCTACCGCCGGTTCTGCATCGCAGGAAAGTCGCCAGTGTTTGAAAAGGGCGCTGTCAAAAAATCAGTCAGAAACATTGAGTTCGAGATGTGTTATGGCAAAAAGGTTTGAGCTGATTTCTTTTTGAACGGTACTGTATAATGTGCAATGAATGGATCTGTTCTTTGAGAATTTTCTACCTATAGTCATTCCCGTAACTTGGCGGAAATTTTTCGATAACTTTATGTATCTTCAAAAACAACAGTGCATGTTTTTCGTCGGATTTTTTATAAGGGCGTTAAATTAGAACCTAGGCTCAGACGCAAGTAAAGGCATATTCTAAAAAAATCGAGAAAACCACAAACTGAAAGAGTTCACTTTGATGTCATGCAGTACTCCCCGTATGAACTTGCAAATATACGCGAAGTCCTTTCGTCTTTCCTTCATAAGTGGAGCAGTTGAACTCAGCTCATCGAGCTATACAACGAAATCTCGGCGCCTTCCACTCGGGTTTCTTCTCAACTGCTAATTGAGTGTGCACATGATATCACTTATGCAAGCTAAAGAGACACCGAGAAGAAACCGTTCCAATCACCATCTGGAGTGCGCCTTACATTCGACTCCATCAAATGCATTGTGGACTTGGTTTAATGTATGTATATGTAAGGTTCCTATCACATTTTCACGTGCGGATTAACTGAAGTTGTTTTCGCTGCGCTCGAAATGACTGTCTAATTTGATTCAAGTTATATCTGAACCGAGTTTTGGGCACGGGCTCTACCCTGATTTTGTACAAATTTTTTGAGTTGGAAGGGATATTTCAGCGGATGCCGAGAAGGCGAAGTGAGATCGCTCCACTATCGAAGACTACACTTTGTGTCGTGCAGAATACTGTAATTCACTCTTTGTGTAACGCCTCTTCCGTGCTGTTTGCTTCCATTTTTTTTGCAATTTGTCGTTGGCGGTCATCTGTGATTCTTATGAGTTGGCAGGGTCGATAAACCCTATCGAACAGATAGAAGGTCTGCCGGTCACGCTTCGCAAGGCCCCGT